GGTGAAACGTTAGAAAGAAGAACCTTCAGAACAAAGCGAAAGAGCCTGAAAAACCCACAACAACCATTAGATCCCGGCCGTGAAAGCCTTTGCGAATACATTAATATTATTGTTCCACCTACTCTGTCCTGTGAACTCAGTTAAGCTAAGACTATTTGAACCCTTATTTGAAAGGTAAAGCAAGCCAAGGATATTAACCTGGTTGCGCATATCAGTAAACAGGCCTCTCTATCAGTGTGGACATGTTATGTTCCACCAAATGTTCCTCAAATGCAACGTCTGTGAGCTCCTGTCAACACAGCAAGTAGTGACTGATGATAGAAAGAGCCGCTTAACACCTGGAAGGCCAGATGCTGCCCATCTCTTCTATATTCCATTTTATCTATCAGTAGTTTCAGATGGGAAGCTTGCTTCTTGTTGAGGGAGAACTTGAATTTGGATCTTCCCCCACCACTCAGAATCCTGACAGTCTAACCACCATTCCAGTGGTTCTCAACCTTGAGTCCCCAGATGTCCTTACACTACAATTCCCAAAAATCATGGTCAGCACACCTAGTAGTGAAGGCTCCTGGGAGTTTTGGTCCAAGAACATCTGGGGACCCAAGGTTTGGAATCACTGCACTATTCTATACTAATTCTCACATTTTGCTACATCCCTATGCACAGGTTCTGATCCTGGCTTGTTAAAAGCAGAAATTGTGCAGTCCATTCATTTCAAATATTCCAGGGGTATGATAATGGAGAAAGGGCTATGAATTTGTCCTCTCCAAACTCAAATCTTTATTTCCTTCTCCTTGTATTGTCACCATTACTACTAATAATAAATGTCTAGTACAGCTAAACTCCCCAAGCTTTGATGTCATTTCAATTAGTTGAGACCAGCAATCCTTTTGTGGTCAGTTTCTGCAAGTAATTAGGTGTCCTGTTTTGCCAGGGAATGTCAAAGATGGAGCAAGATATTTTTTCCTGACCTTTTTTGGTATGTTTTGAACTACACATCTGAGGAGTGTAGAGATTTTTCCTTGTGTGGGATGACTTGCTGAAACATTTTTAAAATAAGAAATAAATAAATATCAGAAATTGATTTGTTCTGCATGGTGTACTAGAAGTGTCAGCTTCTAAAAACAGTTGGTAGTTTTGCCATAGGTGGATGGGAATGAAGAGCTCACTTTTGCCTTTGTTACAGGCTGAATTACATCACTTGCCATGTCTTAGGCTGGGAAAATGGGGGTCTCCAAGTCTGCTGTTAAACAGAAAAAGACTTATTTCGTAGTCTGAAGATCCTAACATATAAAGGGAGGGAGGGCTTAGTTTAAAAGTCAGAAAAGGTTGGTGTTGCCCGATGACACTCTTAAGAAATGGGGGGGGAGAATGTATTAAGGTTAACTAGCTAGCATTGATTTGACTCAGAAACAGGCGTAGCATAGGCATCCTTCAGTCTCGAGAGACTATGGTAAGATGCTCTATATCGAGAAGTGTCCTCTCCAGAACACAAAGCCTGGGTAAAATAATATGGAGGATAGGCTGTTACCCAAGCAGCAAATCCCCCCTCTCCATGTTGCTGAACTAGTCCAATGAAAAGCAAGGGCCAATACAACTGGCTCCAGCAACGTCACAGGAGTTGGGCAGAACGACACGAACTGCCTTCGGGAGTCCATCTCTGGATTTTGCCTTGAGGTTAACTCCTGAAGCCTTTTCCATGAGTGGATATAGCCACAGGGCAGTGGAGGTTTAAAATCAGAGTTTTCCTTCTCCTAGACGGGCTGCCTTCCATGGCTAACAAGCCCCACCTACCTACAGATATATATGCCACTATACCAGTGGTTATAAATCTGTTAGTTTCCAGATGTTATCGCACTGACTTCCATCAGCCTCAGCCAGCCTGGCCAGTGAGCAGAGGTAGTGGGGGCTGGACTCCCAACAAGATGTGAAGGGCTGCACGTTCTCTATCCTTGTGCACACACACACACATATTCAAGTATGTTTGAACAAATGGACCCATAATTTTTGATATGTATGTTATTTGTAGATTGGTATTGGGGGAAAGCCCAAATTCTAATTCCTCTGAAATCTGAGCCGCAGGGGGAAGAATCTAGAACCATTCAAGTTCACTACCTCAGAATTATTGAGAAGCAAAATGGTGTGTGGAAAAGGTGGCCAAACGTGAGGCCTTCTGGTTGTTGGACTGTAATTCCCACCATCAGTCCCTACCAGCTGTGTTGGTTGGATCTAACAATCAGGCAGCATCTGGAAGGACATAATGCGGCCACGCAACTCTTTAGTTTATTGTCATAGACCTCTTGACTTTGAAGTTCCCTATGGGGTCCAGATGGTCTCTTGCCCTCACCTAACCTCCAAACCTCTTGAAGAAAATAGTGTGCTTAAACCTGTACAGTACAGTGAAGGAAGTGTCTCTGGAAATGAAATACCAGAAAATGGGATTGTGCACAGTACTGTACAGTGAAGGAAGTGTCACTGGAAATGAAATACCAGAAAATGGGATTGTTTTCTATGCTAACACTCAGTATTTTCTTTCCTTGTGTTTGACAGAAAATGCAGGTTCTCTGAAGGTCCTTTTTGGGACACCAGAGTTTGTGGCTCCAGAAGTTATAAACTATGAGCCTATTGGGTATGCTACAGACATGTGGAGCATAGGAGTCATCTGCTACATCTTGTAAGTCATCTGCTGTGTATATTGATCTTGAATTTACATACACATGCACACTAACACTCCTTACTTACATTCCTAAGTTTCTGTATATAGTATAGTAAATGAGAGCATATGCAAGAGGCTCTGGATTGTACTTTCCCCAACACCCCAGCTCTTCCTTCAAATCCTCTTTTTATTTGAAACACCACAGAATATGTAAATAAATCTGGACCATTGGCATGTTAATGTGACATTCATGAACCAAATAATGTTGTATTTTCACTTATTCTGTACCCAAGGCTTCAATGTATTCCTCAAGAGATATCCATTCACAAGTCCTCTCATTGCTTCCTAGAATTCTGCTGTTAAGTACTGTTTCACCTTGTTGCTTGGAGATTTGTGGAAAGGATAAAGAATTTCCAAAATTTGTAAGCTGTATTATTTTGCCCATGCTATTGTGTAATGTAGCCTTTCCCAATTCTTTGAGCCAAAGGAAGAACTTCCAGTTATTTCTGTCATTTTAATGTTGATTTTCTTTTGCTGTCTATGGGAAAGTGTGAAGGCAGGAGGAGAAGGGGATGACAGAGGATGAGATGGTTGGACAGGGTCATCGAAGCTACCAACATGAATTTGACCCAACTCCGGGAGGCAGTGGAAGACAGGAGGACCTGGCGTGCTCTGGTCCATGGAGTCACGAAGAGTCGGACACGACTAAACGACTAAACAACAACAATACCAGTATCTATAAAGTAATGCCCTGTGCCAAATATATTAGAATATATAAGATCTGGAGCCTGCAGTGAGACATTAGATGTTACAGCAGAGTTTTGGATCTTCACGCCCTCTCAATTACCAGTGCTGTATACATAATCTATGCCCCTCTATTTTATTAGCATTTTCCAAATTCTGTTCAGAATCCACATCGCCAATCCCTCATCCACTTTGAGTCCCTCCACTTCCAAAACTCTCAGAGGCTTGATACTCCTTCAGGAGCTAGTTTTTTGGATGCACAGGAGGAAAGGGAGGCAGACTTCCATCGCACTGGCCAGCACAGTTTATGATCTAGCCACAGTTCTAAGCTGTGGTTAACTTTTTATTCATTGAATTTTGTTTGAATGTTTTTATTTGCATTTCATGGCATGTTTCTGTTTTCATTAATTTTTCTGCATGAATGTGTTTTTTTTATGACTACTATGCACGCTGAGTAAAATATTAACAATGTTCAGTATCAGTGTAATGGAGGATACCCTATTTTATAATCTCTGTATGATAATGTCCTTACTGAAAAGTTCATTGTTAATACTAATTATTAAAATATTTCTCTTGTTTGGCTTTCTAACACCCACTTTAGTTTAATGACCTTTTCATTTACACCCCTTTACATGGTGAATGTTGTTGTGGGTTTTTTAAGAAGTGAACTGTCAACTTCAGCAACTGAGAATGTGACTACATTGCAAAATATCAGGCAGTTCAAAATGATTTTTTTTTTGCACCTACATGATACCGTATAAAGTTAATTGTGTGGAAGCTAGCACTTTTTTCAATGATATTCTTGTCTTTTTGTTTCCAGTGAGCACCCACTGTCTCTCCTCTGAATACTGTAGTTTTTCTACTTTTTTCCCCACAAATATGCTTGTCAAGTTTAGCACATTGTCAGATGAGTACTGCGGCCACTTTCCCACCTAGCCCTGATGGGAAAGTTTCACTGGCAGCCAGATAAGTTAGTCACTGTCTGTTTATTCTCCCCTCCCCCTGCCTTCTTACCTTGGTGGGAAAGTGCTGAGATGCAGATGCAGTTGAGCAGGCTGGTCAATGTTTGTTGCCCACTTGTAGCAACCTCTTATCCATTTCTCTCCCTTCCCGTCCCCCCCAAACACTTTCTTGCAAAAAGCCTTCCTGAGATGCTGATGAAATTGACCAAGCTAGTCAATGTTTTCTGCCTCTTATTAACAATTTCTTGTTTCTCCCCCACCCCAACCATCCCTAGCCTTCTTATGTGATCGGAGAGCTTCACTGGAAACCAGACAAAATGGAGAAATGTAGTCCATTTTACTAGGATACTAAAATGTGCAGCCCTATGTTGCTTCAAAAGTTAAAAGTTAAAAAAAAAACAGTGCCCAAGTAGTACAGTGAAGGGATATGAATGTTATACTTCCGCACCATATGGAAACACAAATTGTACTGTTTTCATATGGAAAATTGGGCTTTATTCTTCCTGTCATGTGTACTTAAAGCTCTGGTAGCTGATAGTTGCAGTAGATGACCTGAGAGAAGGGATAATGGGAGAGTGACAGAAGGGAAAGGATGAGGAAGAAGGCAGCATTAATAGGGTTGATCTGTGATCCCAGGCAAAGTTGTACCAATGGGGATGTACGGTGTGAGCCCTTGCAGTGGGGAAATTTATCTTCCTGGTTTGGCTGGCTAGAGTTATTTCAGCAGCAGAAGCTACCAGGGACATGGTTTTTGAAAACTGTGGAGCAAACCAATTTAATCTGGTGTTCCTCCCTGTCTAGGCACACCCTCAGATGGCACCCAGAGACAGAGAGAGAGAAAGAGAGAGAGAGAGGTCATTCTAGCCAGTATTTAGTCATGTCATTTCCACTAGTGCCAATAATGTTTGATCCAGAATGTGTACAAAGGGAAATCTAATCATGCTTCCAGTTTCATAAACTTAAAATCTTTGCACAACTGATTGTGTGACTATGTGATAAATTCCTTCTAGATTTTCTGCAGCTGCTTATTGAGGTATTACACAGGGAAAAAAAAGAATGCCACAGCGACCAGTTAGATTTCCAGTGCTAACTAGTTTATCTGAGTACTCAGAAATCATATGCACGTCCATTCACTCCAACATTCATGCTTACATATCCCACTATCTAGATGGCTAGGCCAGATAAAGGTGTGGTGAGAGAAACAGGGCTCCATTTTTATCCTTGTAGGACATCTCTCAAAACAAGAACTGCACCCCTTCTTTTACACTCTTTACAACTTTAGGAAGCCTCCAATTTCATCATTGCTTCCACATCACGTCTTCTTCACATGCTTTCTTTCTTCATTGTTTATCAATTTGTTGCAGTCAGTTTACCGCTTGTAAAATGTTCCACTTTATTACAGGGTGTTCCTGACATTTGTACAGACTGTTTGCTCTTTGTGAGGTATATCTTGTCTAATCCAGATGATTGATCAGTAGAGGTTTTTCCAGACAACAACCCTTTGGTCAGACTTTTAATTCTTTACTTACTCTATTTCCCATTGTTTCGTTTCATTTAGTCATTTAGTCGTGTCCGACTCTTCGTGACCCCATGGACCAGAGCACGCCAGGCCCTCCTATCTTCCACTGCCTCTCGAAGCTGGGTCAGATTCATGTTGGTTGCTTCGGTGACACTGTCCAACCATCTCATCCTCTGTCGTCCCCTTCTCCTCTTGCCTTCACACTTTCCCAACATCAAGGTCTTTTCCAGGGAGTCTTCTCTTCTCATGAGATGGCCAAAGTACTGGAGCCTCAGCTTCAGGATCTGTCCTTCCAGTGAGCACTCAGGGTTGATTTCCTTTAGAATGGATAGGTTTGTTCTCCTTGCAGTCCAGGGGACTCTCAAGAGTCTCTTCCAGCACCACAATTCAAAGGCATCAATTCTTCGGCATTCAGCTTTCTTTATGGTCCAGCTCTCACTTCCCACAACCTCTTCTAAACAACTAGCCACACATCTAGGGATCACAAGTACAAAAGAGAAAGTCAACATCATTCTGCTGACACACTGATTTTCCCCCCACTAACATGATGTTAGATTCAGGTCAATGATCAAATAAATGAAGAGGCCACCTAGGTAGGTCCTAGGTTTTCTCATACCTTTTGGCAGTGCTCAAGCATTCTCAGGTGGTACTTGTCTAACCAGCCTTTTCCCTTGAGATTGTGCAGTTCTGATGGTAGGGTGTCTTGCCTGGCTTTCACTATGACACTGCTGATAGTGATACATAACTTTCTTCTGCTGCTATAAAAATGGAACCTGTAAGAGGCTAAGGTTTCCTTGCCAGGAGGATGCATTGTCTGAGTACCTAGAAAAACCTTTCCAATAAACAACTCCAGGTTTTAATAGGAACTGCATAGCTTCAACTCCACAATACTTTCTTTTTAGCAGATGCTACTAATCTTTGTCACTTTGACTTCAGCTCTGCAGAAAGGAAATAGTTTCCATGATTTATCAAAATACTGTTCCATTATTCCTTTATATGGCCAGTAGATAAAGCATATATCAGAAAACTGAGCCAAGAAAATCTGTGGTAAAAAATGAAGACACTCTACAGATAAATTTTGTTGTTATGTTCCAGGGTTCGTTCTTTCTGGATTTTGGATTCATCCCCAATATTTTTTAAGCACTAATATTTCCCCTAGAAATGTATTCACGGCAATACTTTTTAAAAATAAACCTGCTTTGTCTCTTATGCTGTGGAACATAGCATAACACCTGGGCATTCAGTTCCACGGCATATTCAAAAGGGATAAAAGGTTTTGGCCCTGAAATCTGGGGAGTGGGAAGCTGCTATACTGGCAGTCCTATTAGCAAATGTAAGGTAAAGAGCAGGCATCATTCAAATAAAATATTATAGGCTTAGAAGCTTAGTAGGTCAAATATGCATTTGAAAAAAACTTTGTGTAATCTCTAAAGCCTATCCAAGAGGGGGCAAGGAAGATCATCCTAGGATGGGTGTTTTGAGGCTTAAGCACAGTTACTGAGAAGAACTTTCTCTGGATCCACTCAAACGCTGTAGAAATACTGGTGGGAAAATACAATTTTTATGGAATATTGTTCAACTTTGTTGTACAGTCATAGACCTGTTAAGTCATGGAATTGCTCTTTACTGGTTACCTTACCTACTGTGCTAATTTGACCTCTTTCAATAATAGCAATCCATTCTTTTCATGCTGGTAGAAACTCTTATACAGTAACTTAAATTCCGCCAGTATCTAGTCAATGTTAAGGTCTACTCTCCCAATGGCAGTTAGGGTGCTACACAGTGAGGAGAATGTGCATTCGCTTGCTGTGAAATTGCACTGGGGAGTTCAGGTTTCCCCCGGTCAATTTGAATTAACTTGCCACACAGGGAGAGAAAAGAAAGCTTTGTTTGCAGTTTGTTAATTTAGTTGTCTTGTAGCCCATCGAGTGGCATAGTTTCAGGAGAGCTATTTAATATGCTGTAATAAAGTACAAACAAGGAGAGAGTACTGATTTTCTGGCCATTTCCTTTGCTTGCTCTCTGTTTCACTCCCCCACCATCTAGGTGCTCTAGCACTTCAGCACTGGCACCAAGCTATTTTAAAAAAGAAATAAAGGATATCATTTGCAAAGATCCAGTCCAGGATTTCCCACACACACACACTTATTTTGAAACACAGGTGTAGCTAGATCTGCAGTAAGTGTTTGGATCTGTAGTATTATTTGCAAAGATCTAGCATAGGAGAGCTGAATCGGGGGGGGGGGGGGGGGAGGGAAGTTTCCATATTTTTCTGCATCAGATCAATTGATCACATCATCTGAACCAATGTGATTTTCCCCCCCAAAAAAAGTAGAAGCTGCAGTGGTAGAGGAGAAAACTGCAGGGAGGGGGGACTCTGGGTTGATTCACATTTTCCTTTGCATCAGTGATCAACAGAAAATATGTGAATCAGCCAGCCAAAACCTGTAGTATTCCCTGCATTTTTGCACCCTTAGTTGTGTTAAGGACAACACGACGTAGCTGAATTGAGAAAGGATATAGATATATTTTTCATCCTGCTTGAATATAATCTTCAGATTAATTCAATTCCCACAACAGCACATATTCACTAAAATATATGGTTGAATACTTTGTGTATACCGTATCCCTGAGAACCAGCATAACATCTCCATTGCTTATGGCATAGTCTTATGCGTAGAAAACATTTATTAAGCATACTGAGGAAGATTCTGTGTGGGTGATATGTGTGTTTCCTTAGTGTTGTCTGGCCCCTAAGCGCCCAGAGGCAACTTCCTAATTACCCTGATGGCCTTGGCTATGGTTATCTTTCAGCCAGATTTGGACCAGACAGCTCTTCTGTTCTCTGACAATGTTTCAAGCAGAGAATTGTCTTCTGTAGCATAGGCTTCATGGCCATCCTGTCTGATACCCTTTCGCACTAAATAAACATTAATTCTGCTTAGACTGTGTATTATTGACTTGCCACAGTTATGGCCTAACGTGAGTTTGTCAATGTACTAAATTATTTCATTCCTTTGTGAGAAAAGTCCAAGTGAAGTGTATAGAATTTGAATTAAAAAGATTACACTGTCATAAAAACACATTTCTTCTTTCCTGGGATTGTATCAGTTTATTGGTTCCCTCTTGTGGCGAAATTATAGAATTTGTCTACTAGTTTGCCAGATTTTAAACACACTGAAAAGAGTGAATACTTAGATTGACATGTTGGGACATGTTCAAGGAAGCCATGGCTTCCAAGAACTCAAGAGCTGGCCCAGAAGTCTCTGCCTCCGCATGAATATTGAAATCACCCAGAACCAGTAGCTCTGGGAATCTCAACATCGCCGTGGAGACAAAGTCCGCCAGCTCCGGTAGGGAAATGGCTGGTAAAAGCACTGAATGGAGCTGGAAGAAGACAAAACAATGCCTTCAGAGAAGCAAAATTCTACTTCCATCTCAAGAAGCTAGGTTTCTGTTACTTAGATTTTTTTCCCCTTTGCACTCCAGTACATTTGGATGTAAAGAAATATACAGTGGGTTGCTTCCTGCATATACTATTTGTTTGTGTAATCTGTACACACAAAAAACCTATGCTCATCCCTGAGTGCCTTCTTTTGTATATGTATTTGGTTGACCAGCTTGTTCAACTTTCTGGGATCTCATCTATTGGATATATCAATGTGCTAATAATATACCTTACATCTTTTCCTAAGATGGTATCAACTCTTATCTTTGTTAATTCTGACACACCTTGTTTTTATTTTAACTCTCAGGGTCAGTGGGCTTTCTCCTTTCATGGGTGACAATGACAATGAAACCTTAGCCAATGTTACCTCAGCCACCTGGGATTTTGATGATGAAGCTTTTGATGAGATCTCAGATGATGCCAAGGATTTCATCAGCAACCTTCTAAAGAAAGACATGAAGTAAAGCTCTTCCATATACAATGCCTTACTAATTACTAATATTGCATAACATTGTGTAATTGAAAAATTGTAGGTAAAGATGGTTCCTAACATACTAAAAGGTTTTAAAATGTTAAGTTACAGTGTTGATAAATTACCTCTTACTATAATACTAATCCCTGTTATTCATCTACATTGCTATTCATCACCATCACCATGGAATTTTCAATGACAAGCAACTAATGTGGAGAAATAGTTTATGTGCAGTTCTTACCCAGTATTGAAGAACAATTTGAATAGTCAAATTACATTAATTTGACTATTTTACTAATTCATGAGTGCTTACATTTCATGAAGAATACCATATATAAAGTTATGTTTTAGGGCAAACTATTATCGTTATCATTGGTGAATATCACCTATCTTGTACTCCTTGGTGTTTTTAAAAATTACCGTATTTTTTGCTCCATAAGACGCACTTTTTCCCTCCCAAAATGTGGGCAGGAAGTCCGTGCGTCTAATGGAACAAAGGCACAATTTCATCGCTGCTTGCCCCGTGGGGGGGGCGTCGCAAGGGTCCGGGTGAGCCTTCCAGGACCCTTGCAAGGCTCCCCCACCCCCCACGGGGCCAGCGCCGGCGAAATCGCCGGCTTCCAGGTGGGGGGGAGCGTCGCAAGGGTCTTTGAAAGCTCACTCAGACCCTTGTGACGCTCCTCCCACCCACCCACGGGGCCAGCCCTGGCGAAATCGCCAGGTTCTGGGAGTGTTTGG